TCTTCCTGACTCAGGAAGCTGACTTACACTACCACCTAGATACCATCTGCTACAGCGATACTGTTTACATCAACACCATGACACAACAAAAACTATTTTTAAACCACATTTACCAGTTGTTGTAATACCAGGTTGTTTTAGTTATTAATACCAGTTTATTGTATCTTATTGGACGTTGTGAGGTTGGGGTAGTTTACCAGTGGCATTTCATTGGGTACTACACTACCATGTTTCTTTCATCAAATTGCTCCATATGGAATGATTTTGCATTGGTCAGTCACCTTATTATTTAGGACATCACTTTAGGTTCTGGTGCACAGTGCTCATATTAGTTTTACAGCTCCATGAAGTTGTGTAGTAACCCTCATAAGACCCAAGAGGAGCTGTACAACTGTATGAAATGGCATATATCACACATCACCAGCCTCTATAGGCTGGCAATGGCATGACGTTGTTGTGTTACAGATACTATTTGCCAGCTGGCTGAGTAGAGTAAGCTCCTTAACTTCCTCCAACCCTTAACTAAGAGGGATCTGACAGGACAGAGAGCAGTAACCACATCCTTCCATTACTGTAGCCTCCCTTGCCGCCAATATCCAATGTAGGGCTGTCCCCAACCAGAAATAAATCTTGGTCGACCAAGAGTCGTCTGTCCTTTCGACCATTCGATTGGTCGAAATTTGAAAAATTGTATGTGTTTTAATCACATCAACTATATTAACTGAGCTTGTCATATGCTTTAAGCTAACGGTTTGATGAAATAATTAAGACACACAAATGACTAGACAGAGTCCGACCGCAATTGATTTGATTGTGCCGCCTGGCTCAGACTTGCTGCGCTGTGTTAAAAAATGACAGCGAGTGACTGTGTGACTAGCACCTGTTGTCTCTCTCTCCTCTCTGCTGCAGCGACCACCACACGTCAACAGTGTGGATAGCGCTGTCCGAGTTTCTGAAGCTGCAACATAATTATAGCCATTTCTGTTGCACCATTGTTCTTACATAATATAACCATATACAATTTCTTAGACTGATGGACTGTGCCATCCCCACGGCCTCCACAATGGATCAGTCCACTCAGACAGGCGCGAATCAGACCGGTGTCTTGTGCACCATGATTTTTTGCTACTGCTTGACTAAAGAAATCTCGGTCGACTAACAGCCTATCGACCAAACAATCAATCAGTCGACTAAATGGGGTCAGCCCTAATCCAATTACTTGGTTTGATTCATTAATGATTTAGTGATTGTAGGAAAACCACAAAATGGTCCTTACAGGAACTGACTGGGCAGTTTACTGTAAATGGCAGCATGTATTTTGGGTGCTATACCCGTTAAGAACTCCGTTGCTCTATTCTCGGTTCTAGGCTAAGAACATCTGAAAGGTGCGAATGTGAGAGGTGAGACATGCTCTCCAATTACTGCATTATTACTACTCTCCTCTAGATGGTTTCTGGACCACATAACAGCTAGCAAAGACCAATGGACTCTAGAAATAAAGACCTATGGACTACAGCCTCGTTAAACTTCTCCCACCTACTTATCTCCTCCTTGGGAAGCTCCGACGATCCCAGTCCCTCCTCTTGGGCCTGCCTATGGGAGGAGGTGGAGTGGGTGGTGGTGATGATGACTAAGTCTGTCAGTCACCATATGGCTGTGACTAGCCTAATAATCTGGGCTTATGACTGGGAAGTGGCCCCAGCGTCTGGAGCGGCCCAAATGCAGAGAGACAGAGGGAAGGAGGGATAGACCCATCGAGAGAGGGGTAGAGGCTCGCCAGAGGAGAAGAGGCGTGCTGGGGTGCATTGGAATGGCAGCCCTATACCATGGCTCAGGGCTGGGTGGAGGATTGATGGCTGAGAGGAAGGGGGCGGTGGTGGCAGAGGAGGAGGAAGAGGCCAGGCCCTGCGTCTACCTCACCACCCTGATCCAGCTGTTCATCAGGGACCAGTCCCCAGCCCAGGCCCTGTGCTCCATGCTGGCCATGTGCTGGTTTTGGCCTGGAGGCTGTGAGGCCGAGGAGAAGGACCTGTTTCTGGGCTCGGCCCTGCTCACCCTCAGACAGCTGTTTAAAGACAAGCTGGCCCTGCTGCTGGACGACATGGCTGGATGTGTGGCCTGTGAGAAACCTACGGTACCCGACCCACGCACTGGACTCCTGGTAACCCAACACTGCCTTTTCTAGTTGTTTGATCGGGGTTTATTGTAGTTAGTATGTTTAGTACAGGTCACATAGTGTTAGTAAGTATCAATGTTCTTGTGTGCTGACACTTCCCTATTTGTCCAACCTGCCTCTACTAATGATTTATTTAAGCAATAAGCCTGAGGGGGCGTTGCGTCATGCCTAAGAACAGCCCTTAGCCGTGGTATATTGGCCATGTACCACAAACCCCAGAGGTGCCTTATTGCTATTATAAACTGGTTACCAACGTAATTAGAGCAGTATAAATACATGTTTTGTCATACCCGTGGTATACGGTCTGATACACCACGGCTGTCAGCCAATCAGCATTCAGGGCTCGAACCACCCAGTTTATAATTAAGTATATTGTATACAGTACATGTAGCGGATCCCCACAGGAGAAATTATCAATTCACTCTCATACTACAGTAGGTCACGAGGGTGTGGTGCTACAACTGAGTCACTGTGTCACTCTTCTTACTCTATAGTATTATTTATTGTACTCAGGTCAGTCCACCTGGTTGTCCAGCCTGTCTCTGGAAGGTTGACTTGGCTGTTACAGTTTTTTGTGTGGTTTTGCTTTATTTCAGAGTCTGTCCTTTTCGTAGCCTGCTATATGTTCAGTCAGATGTTATCAGACATCCTCTGGACCAGCGGTATGTAGTGTTTGCTATCACCAAGCTACATTTTAGGGCAACAGGTCATGTGGCTAGAAGAAGGTTTCCACATCACTGACTGCTCCCGACTGTGCTTTCAATTTCATTTCAGTTTCATGTTGAGGGAAATGGTTTGCTGCTATGTTACCTTTCCTCTGCTGTCATTTGATATTGATGTTGTTGGGGGGGGTTATAATGTTATTTGTCTCACTCCCCAATGGGGACTTATCATGAAACACGCACTCTGTAGTCTCCCATGCACTCTGAAGTCTCCCACACACTCTGAAGACCCGGTGGAATAATATTTGTTTAGAATGAAAAATAAAGCATATAATGGGAATAGCAGACTGGGGCCCTCCCTCCCTGTTTGATTTATGAGAAACTGTCTTTATTTATTGAGTTTTAAAAAGTGGATGGCAACATTGCACAATAGGCCTAACCTGAGGGATGAATCAGCCTCTGTCAGAGCCTTACAGTGGTGTGACAGAAAACTCTCCTTTGAGCAATGGGCTGAGCCGGCCCGAGGGACGCCCCATATTTTATCCCTGGCGTTACACTTTAGACTTTCCATTTGTGTTTGTTTATTTTCTTAAAGAGAAAGTATTTTGGCGCCGGGAGGATTATTTTCTTTCATTTGAAAGCGATTCATCTCTTAAAGTAGGCTGAGCACACTGCTTTTAATGGCTCTATTTTAATGTCTGGCAGAGATAGGGGAGATTGAACAGTATCCGGCTTCACTCAACTGTTTGACAGCTCTTGTTTGTCTTTGGGCTGTGTTTGTTTCTAACCTCACTGTATTTGAATACTATTTGAATATGATGTCAGTGGAGGCCAGGTTGAAGTTGGCTTTTGACCTTGGATTAGGAGACACTTGGATGTGTTTGGCTGCCAATGGGTGTATGAGGGAGCGGAAGAGAGGTGTCGTGAATGACACCTTGCCCGTGGGTGGAAAATACCAGACTGGATAATCGTACCAGTTGGCACGTCAAGCAGGACTCTTCACAAACAGCTTCTTCTGACCTCTCCCATGTCAACACGCCTAGGATTTTACATGAACAATACCTAGCCATTGAGATCACATTGGAGTTCTCCAGTGTTATATGTTTAGTGAAGTTATCCACATACGTTCAGACATTCCGACAACTTTGTAGACACACATTCTTTGCTGCATTCTCAGAATGCTGTTCACTTCAAGGGGTGGGGACATAGTGGATCTAATGTAATATGTTGTGCATATACTGAGACCTTAGTTAGGCTAGTTAATTGTGTTGTTGTGTTGGAGTGGTCTGCCCACACAGGCCTGAGCCTCCAGTCAGGTGACCTGACCTGGATTTGGAACAGTCAGCTAGTTGTCACTCGGCTAATGACCTCAGGTAGCTTTGTCTGCAAACAGTAGACCCATATCCCCCTCAGCAGCAGGTTACCCCTCAGTAAGATGTTGTTTACCAGGAAGCATAGCTTCTAAACATAAGCTTGGACTCATGTTTTTGTTGAAAAGCACCCACAATAGTTCATTAGAGGGCCCCTCCTCCTCCCTACAGCGTGTCCTGTGTTGTTGTCAGTGTAGATGTGTGCCCCTGAATCCCCCTGGCCTGTTGAACAGACACAGCTATTCCTGACCGTATGACAGTGCAACAGTGAGGCTGGCGGGCCAGAAGAGTCCTCATTGTGTTGATGGTATTGAGAGGCCAGGCTTCAGGCCTGTGGCAGCATGGCCAGTAACACTGGCAGCCTGGCCTCTGCATTATACTCTCTGGAAGCTGACAAGGGTCACGTGGACCAGAGATGGGGTGAGCGAGAGAGACGGAAAGAGAGAGCGAGGGAGGAATGCCCCTCCGTTTGCATTGTCCGCTCGGTCCGGCCGTCCACTCTGATTGATATGCAGATTGGTGCAGGCAGCAGTTTTTAGTCAAATGCCTACGCTCACAGAACCTCTAGATCCCATCAAACGGCCCCTGGCCCCTGGAGAGTGAGGCTTCTCCAGGTCTGGTGGTGGAGGAGGACGTGACAGTCACTAATGAGGAAGAGGCAGAGTGGGGGAATACTGAATGTGAGGAGGTAGAGCGAGAGAGGGGAAGGGAGAAGGACTATCAAGTACTGTCCAGTCAAGAACAACTCATTGCGGTCTAGTGGTCAGACCCAGTCCAGTCAGTCCAGCCGTGATGCCAGCGTCCAGGTCGGGTAGGCTGCATAAGAAAGGCTGTAACCTGGCCCGTAGGACCCAGAGACAGGCCACAGCAGCTTGGAGGCTCCTCTACAGACTGCTCTTCATGGTGAGTAGGACAGAGGGATTGAGATCGAGAGGATTGATGATTGTCGTGGGAGTACAGTTGACCGTTCATAGAGGGAAGGACAGTGTTAGTGGGTTATGGGGTTTAGTCTTTCACTGTCTAGTTGTTCAAGTGTGGCGATGGGTATCAACCTCAGGCTCAACATGTTTTAGGGCTGTAGGTGTTGTGACAGAGAGGTTAAAACTATTCCTCATGGGGAGAGGGAGAGAGAGATGTCTGGCTTTACAACAGGGAGAGCAGATGGGGTGATAGTCCCGAGTGAGCTGTCCAATTTGGGCTAATTGGCAGGATAGGATTTAGCTAATTCTTCCTAGAATCCCCACAGGCTTCATGGTTGTTCAATCAGAAAAACCCAGTCAGTTCCCTATGTTGCATAAGTGGGCTATAGTATAAGCGCTAAAACTGTGAGAGGAGCCCAAATGCAGCAGAAGCTGTCAAGCGTAACCAGAATACGGAGGGAGAATTGAGACTAGCGCTGTTGGATGTGCTCGTCCATTCTCCAGCTGCAGTGCTGCCTCCTGCTCCCGGCTCCCCCTCTCCACAGCTCCCAAGCGGCCTGTTCGCAGATCTTAATTGGATATTTGGGTTAGCCGTCAGGCGTTTGGCTCAGACCGTTGGTGGGATTGTTGTGAGATAGGGAGACTTCTGAGTCATGTCTCTCTCTCTCTCTCTCTTTTCCCCTAGTCATGTTCTCACAGGTCGCCCATATTAAGTTGATGAAAAGTAATGCTGCGAGAAAGGGAGAATCCTTCTGTCTGTCTCAGTGTGCGCATGCCTGTGTGTGTAGCTCAGTGTGTGGCTTCAGAAACAAACATTATCTGTCTGTGTGAGGCAAGTTTGCCTCTGAAGCTGCCGCAGGGTATCTGATTAATATGTAAACATCATCTCCTTCAGCCCTTTTTCCTCCTTGAGCTGGTCTCATAGCCTTTCAGCTGCAATATGGAGGAGCTTTGGTCTGTGTTAGTGTGGGTGAAACATATCCACTACATTCAGTGTGTGTGCTTGAGCTTGTGTGTGTGGGTGTCGATGCTTGCCTGCGTGCCTGAGTCTGTTCTTTTGTGTATCTACAGTATACAGCCGTACAGAATCCAGTCAGTGTAGTAGCATAGTGGGTCAGCTCAGTCTCAGTGTAATTATCATTGCTCACGCAGAGACCCAGAGCTGCTGGCTGGGTGGTCGTATCTAGAGGCCAGCCAGACCTAGCCTACCCCATGCCTGAATCCCCTTCCCCTCAGTGGGGGCCTGAGCCACCAGCCCCCTGCCCCTAGCCCCAAGACCACTGCCGTAGCCATGCTGCTCCCACGGTGCTGCCTAGTTCTCTATCCTCTCTACAGATTAGTATTGAAGCTGCTTTGGCACCCTCCTGAGTAACCATGTTATGATTAAGCAATAAGGCACAAGGTTGTATGGTATATGGCCAATATACCACGGCTAAGGGCTGTTCTTATGCACAACACAACGTGAAGTGCCTGGACACAACCCTTAGCCGTGGTATATTGGCCATATACCACATACCCCCGAGGTGCCTTATTGCTATTATAAACTGGTTACTAACGTAATTAGAACAGTAATTGCAAATGTTTTGTCATACTCGTGGTATACGGTCTGATATACCACAGCTTTCAGCCAATCAGCATTCAGAGCTCAAACCACCCAGTTTATAATTACCTGATGAGCTACTGGCTTAGCTTAATAGAGGACTTGATTTGTCCTCTGTCTCTATGGTATACTCTAACACTATCTCGGTCCTGCTGGGTTGTTATACTGTGAGGGCTGTTTATTGATTTGGTTTGTGTATGTCGTGTGCGTGAATTTGTCTGCGCTGTTGCTGTGCAATATTGATGGTGACAGGCAGGGTATTTTCTGAGAATTGCTTATGTGTAACGATCAGCGTCTCTCTCACTTTTCTCTCTCACTCAAAAATGCATTCTCTTGCACTGACTCTCTTGCAGTGGCTCTTCCTTCTACACCCCCCCCCCCCCCCCCCCCTCCCCCAGTGGCTCTTCCTTCTACACCCCCCCTCCCCCAGTGGTGGTTGTCCCACTGGCTATCCTAAGTTGAATGCACCAATTTGTAAGTCGCTCTGGATAAGAGCGTCTGCTAAATGATGTTAAATGTTATGCACACTCACTGGACTCTACCCACACACTCACACATACTTCACTGACATCCCAACACACACACACACACAGACACACACACACATCCAGAGTCATATTCCAGCAAAACAAGTTATGACATCACCAACCAGAACGTTCACTAATAGGTCCGGTATCACATCATCAACTTGTATTGATCACATTTTTACTAACATGGCTGAACATTGTTCTAAAGCTGTATCAGTGGCACTAGGTTGTAGTGATCATAACTGGCTGGCCCTAAGGTAATCTACCGAAGGTCCTACAGAGGGTTCAATCAGGACTCATTTGTGGATGAGATTAAGAATGTGCAATGGTTAGAAGTGTGTAGTAAGGATGATCCTGAAATGTCACTAAGTTTATGAAATTATTTATGAGTATTGCTGATAGGCATCCCCCTTTAAGAAAATGCACTGTGAGGTCAAACGGTGCCCCATGGATTGATGATGAGCTGAGAAATGTAATGATTCAACGTTATGATGCTAAAAAGCAGCAGATAAATCTGGCACTCTGTTTGGTAAGCAAAGTTATTGTAAATTAAGAAATCTTGTGACCAAGCTAAACAAAGGAAAGAAGAAGGGATTCTATCAGCACAAAATTGATGAAGTAAAGGATGATGGGAAAAAAACTGTGTAGAACGTTGAACGCTATTATGTGTAGGAATTGGAACATGTCCGCCTCTTTTGTTGAATCAGAGGGTATATTTATTACAAAACCACACGACATCGCACACTACTTTAATGAATATTTTACAGGCAAAGTGGACAAGTTGAGGAATGCCATGAGTCCAACTGATGGCTCCATGTCATATACCCTTATAAAAGATTGCATCATGAAGGAGAGGCAATGCATGTTCGAATTTCACCAAGTAGAAAGGGAAGAGGTTGAAAGGATGTTGTTGTCTCTTTCGGATGACAAGTCACCTGGTACAGATAATCTTGACGCCAAATTGCTTAGAGTTACAGCTAACCAAAAACGATATTATAACCGCGATCGATAAAAGACAGTACTGCGCAGCCTTCTTCATCGACCTGGCCAAGGCTTTCGACTCTGTCAACCACCGCATTCTTATTGGCAGACTAAATAGCCTTGGTTTCTCTAATGACTGCCTCGCCTGGTTCACCAACTACTTCTCAGATAGAGTTCAATGTGTCAAATCGGAGGGCCTGTTGTCTGGACCTCTGGCCGTCTCTATGGGGGTGCCACAGGGTTCAATTCTCAGGCCGACTCTATTCTCTGTGTATATCAATGATGTCGCTCTTGCTGCTGGTGATGCTCGGATCCACCTCTATGCGGACGACACCATTTTGTATACATCTGGCCCTTCATTGGACACTGTGTTAACAAACCTCCAAACGAGCTTCAACGCCATACAACACTCCTTCCGTAGCCTCCAACTGCTCTTAAACACTAGTAAAACTAAATGCATGCTCTTCAACCGAATGCTGTTTGCACCCGCCCACCCGACTAGAATCACTACTCTCGGCGGGTCTGACCTAGAGTATGTGGACAACTACAAATACCTAGGTGTCTGGTTAGACTGTAAACTCTCCTTCCAGACTCACATTAAGCATCCCCAATCAAAAGTTAGATCTAGAATCGGCTTCCTATTTCACAACAAAGCCTCCTTCACTCATGCTGCCAAACATGCCCTCGTAAAACTGACTATCCTACCGATCCTTGACTTCGGCGATGTCATTTACAAAATAGCCTCCAACACTCTACTCAGCAAATTGGATGTAGTCTATCACAGTGCCATCCGTTTTGTCACCAAAGCCCCATATACTACCCACCATTGTGACCTGTACGCTCTTGTTGGCTGGCCCTCACTACATATTCGTTGCCAAACCCACTGGCTCCAGGTCATCTATAAATCACTGCTAGGCAAATCCCCGTCTTATCTTAGCTCACTGGTCACCATAGCAACATCCACCCGTAGTCTGCGCTCCGGCAGGTATATCTCACTGGTCATCCCCAAAGCCAACACCTCCTTTGGCCGCCATTCCTTCCAGTTCTCTGCTGTCAATGACTGGAACGAACTGCAAAAATCTCTGAAGCTGGAGACTTTTATCTCCCTCACTAACTGTCAGTTGTCAGAGCAGCTTACCGATCACTGCACCTGTACACAGCCATTCTGGAATTAGCCCACCCAACTACCTCATCCCCATATTGTTATTTATTTTGCTAATTTGCACCCCAGTATCTCTATTTGCACATCATCTTTTGCACATCTATCATTCCAGTGTTAATTACGAAATTGTAACTATTTTTGCACTATGGCCTATTTATTTATTGCCTTCCACAACTTACTACATTCGCACACACTGTATATATATTTTCTGTTGTATTTTTGACTTTATGTTTTGTTTACCCCATATATAACTCTGTGTTGTTTGTTGTTTTTATTGCACTGCTTTGCTTTATCTTGGCCAGGTCGCAGTTGTAAATGAGAACTTGTTCTCAACTGGCTTACCTGGTTAAATAAAGGTGAAATAAAATAAATAAATAAATATCTACCCCAATCTCTCATATTTTTAATAAGTGCTTGATTTATGGGGTGTGCCCAGAAGTCTGGAAAAAGTCAAAGGTTATTCCACTACCTAAGGATTAAACATTCTGAATTCACTGGTCCTAATATGCTTGCTGCCTGTGTTAAGTAAATTATTTGAAAAAAATGTATCTGTACAAATTAAGGATTATTTCTCATGTAATGGTCTGATTACAGGTTTACAGCATCCATACAAAGAATGGCATTCTACGAGTACGGCCTTAGCACAAATGACAGATGATTGGTTAAAGAGTATGGATGACAGGAAGTTAGTCGGTGCAGTGTTGCTAGATTTCAGTGCTGCTTTTGATGTAATTGATCATGAACTGTTACTAGGTAAACTAAAATGTTATGGTTTTAAGTCTGCATCTCTATCCTGGATGGAAAGCTATCTATCCAGAAGAAGGCAAAAATTATTTAATGGTAGCTTTTCAAACAGTAAAGATATACGCTGTGGTGTTCCTCAAGGAAGCTGCCTAGGCCCACTTCTCTACTCTGTCTTTACTAATGATTTACCTTCAGTAATGAGCAAAGCAAGAGTGGTAATGTATGCTGATGACTCTACAATGTATAGCGCAGCATCAGAATGTAATGAGCTAACAGATGTACTGAGTAGTGAACTAAGAATGGTGTCTGAGTGGGTTGATATGAACAAATTGGTGTTGAACATTTCTAAAACTAAATGTATTGTACTTGGTTCAAGATATATGCTTGTTGATGATCCCCAATTGAATTTGTTGATGAATAGAACGCATGTAGAGCAAGTGAAAAAAACGGAACTACTAGGCATCATGGTCAGAACACATAGATATTGTTATTAAATGGGTAAGGGAATTGCTGTTACAAGAAAATGTTCAGGGTATGTAACATCTAGCACTCTGAATCAGGTGATTCAATCCCTGGTCCTATCACACCTAGAGTACTGTCCAGTTATATGGTAATCTGCAGCAAAGAAAGATATAAATAAAAGCTAAATCACTCAAAACAGGGCTGCCAGATTAGCTCTTCATTGCTCTATCCGTATGAATATTATCCAAATGCATCAATCTCTCATGGCTTCACGTTGAAAACACAGTCCTATCCAATCTTCTGATTTTCTTTAGGAATGTTATTATTATTATTTTTTTATTATTATTTTTTAACGGATTTATCAGACCAGTTAGTACATACTGGCAACACGCATAACCACCAAACCAGACAGGTAAATTCAGGGCATCTAAGACAACCCAAGCCAAGGACAAATCGCCTTCAATCTACAGTTTTAAATAGAGCCATAGCTGAATGGAACTCTTTACCAATCCATATTTCTCAGGCAAAAAAGTAAATCCACCTTCAAGAAAAAAATGAAAGAACATCTAATGCAATAGACCATATGACTGGACAGGAAATAGAAAGCATCAACTGAATGTTAAATGTGTTACATGTCAGGTATTTTAATTGCCTGTATTGTCTACTTGTTAAATGTTGTAAAGTCTTTAATTTGTAATTGTTTGGAATGTCTTATTAATTGGTGTTGGACCCCAGGAAGATTAGCGAACGTTACGGCGTTAGCTAATGGGCATCCTAATAAAAATACTATCAGAGCCGATGACAGCCCTGAGCCAATCACACAGCTAGCACTGTGTGATACTGTATTACTGTTTAAGTTGCACTCTATGGTTTAGCTTTGTGTGCTGTGTACTGTATTCCAGCTTGTTATGATGGTTGATGGGGATATTGTTTTTGATTGATGTTTAAACAAGATAAAAGTCCTTGTGATCCTAATACGCTTTGTGTCTACATGTTACTGTGGTCCCTAACTGCTCTGTCTCTCTATCGCCCCCTGCAGAGCGTGGAGACTGTGTGCACGCTGTACCACACCTTCCAAGAGGGCTCCGGGGGCCTGATGGAGGGCCACAAAGAACCCCCGAACCCAGGGGCCGAGCCCACCCTGCTCAGAACCTGCCCCCGACACATGAGCGCCACCGAGAGGCTCAGCAAGGTCATCCAGGAGCTGGTGGACACAGAGAAGTCCTACGTCAAGGTAATTATTTGTTATCTTACTTTTATAATTCTTGAAGGTAATAGCCAATTCAGTCTATTCAGTTGAGCCAGGATGAAGAGACAGGGCATAGGAAAGCAAAGCCACAGAAGAGTAACAAGACAATTGTCTATTTCTGTTGCGCCATGGGGAGAAACAAAGTAGCCTGCTTCATTATACTCTACAGTACACAGGCTCATAATTCAGAGGCCCTGTACAGCTCAAGTTTCCAACTCTCATGATCTTCACCTCGTCTCTCTGTGTGTGTCAGAGGAGTCTGCTGATTGTCCTACAGCTCTCTCTCTCTCTCTCTCTCTCTCTCTCTCTCTCTCTCTCTCTCTCTCTCTCTCTCTCTCTCTCTCTCTCTCTCTCTCTTTATTGGCATGGGAAACGTATGTTAACATTGCCAAAGCAAATGAAGTAGATAGTAAACAAAAGTGAAATAAACAAATATTAACAGTAAACATTACACTCAGAAGTTCCAAAAGAATAAAGACATTTCAAATGTCATATTATGTCTATATACAGTGTTGTAACAATGTGCAAATAGTTAAAGTACAAATGGGAAAATAAATAAACATAAATATGGGTTGTATTTACAATGGTGTTTGTTCTTCACTGGTTGCCCTTTTCTTGTGGCAACTCTATGATGCAGTGGTGGTGTATAAGTGGCATTGGTGTTGTCGGATTCACTAACCCACCTCTTGTGTCTCTTTCGCTTTGTCTGTCTTTCCTTCCTCCAGGACCTGAGTTGCCTCTTTGAGATCTACCTGAAGCCCTTGCAGAATGAGACCTTCCTCACTCTGGACGAGGTAGAGGAGGGAGCCCCTGAGAGGAGGGAGGGGGGTTGGTGGGATTGGTGGAGGGGAGGACGGGGGATTGGAGGGGGAGTTAATAGAGATAGAGAATTTGATGAGGTTGGTTCATGATGACTGATCCAGGCTCTGTCGTAGCCGGCCGCAACCGGGAGACCAATGGGGCGGCGCACAATTGGCCCAGCGTCGTCCAGGGTAGGGGAGGGAATGGCCGGCAGGGAGGTAGCTCAGTTGGTAGAGCATGGTGTTTGCAACGCCAGGGTTGTGGGTTCGATTCCCACGGGGGGCCAGTATGAAAATAATATAATAATAATGTATGCACTAACTGTAAGTCGCTCTGGATAAGAGCGTCTGCTAAATGACGTAAATGTAAATGTAAAAATGAAGATTGATAGCTTTATTAGATTGGGGTGGGGGTGAGGTTAAATTACCTCAGTAATGAACTCTCAGGACCTCTTCTTATTAGTCCCTTACTGACATAGGACCAAATATTAGAAAGTGTGGGTAAGATTCTGTTTGTAGTCTTCCATTGTTCATCGATACAATTTACTCTTATCTCAGGTTGGGATTAGTCCTTGTGTGACTGTCCCTCTCTGAGCCCACAAGGCTATGGCTGGAGAATGCTAATGATAGTATAGCTTTAGTCCCACTTAGCTAGGGACATTGATGTGAACTGAGCCTAACCTCAGTCTCAGGACGACGCTCTCACAGGAGAGATCCATCGATACACACTGAGGAGTGTGGCTGATTAAACCACCATTAACAGACACTCAGACGTGTCTAGGCACACAGTGGACAAGAGAGCAAGACACCCTGAATATATTTTAATGAAGGTGAGGGAGTGGGAAGGAGAGAGCGAGAGACTGGGAGATTGTATTAGAGATGGAAGGAAAGAGAGGCTGTTCCTAAGTGCCTCTCACATCTGAGACATTAGAGGGGGTGGTGAACGAGTGACTGACTGCTGTCAAATCAACATTTATTTGTCACATGCGCCGAATACAACGGGTGTAAACCTTACCGTGAAATGCTTGCCAACAATGTAGTTCAAGAAATAGAGTTAAGAAAATATTTACTAAATAAACTAAAGTAAAAAAATTTTTTAAAATAAAAAGTAACACGATAAAATAACAATAACGAGGCTATATACAGGGTGTACCGGTACCGAGTCAATGTGCGGGGGTACAGGTTAGTCGAGGTAATTTGTACTTGTAGGTAGTGGTAAAGTGACTGCATAGATAATAAACAGCGAATAGCAGCAGTGTAAAAACAAAGGGGGGGGGGTCAATGTAAATAGCCATTTGATTAATTGTTCAGCAGTCTTATGGCTTGGGGGTAGAAGCTGTTAAGGAGCCTTTTGGTCCTAGACTTGGTGCTCCGGTACCGCTTGCCGTGCGGTAGCAGAGAGAACAGTCTGAGTTGGGTGACTGGAGTCTTTGACCATTTTTTGGGCCTTCCTCTGACACCGCCTAGTATATATCTCTGACCAGGCCCATGTCTCTCCTTTCCTTCAGATGGATAGTCTTTTTGGCAGCCTGCCAGAGATGCTGGACTTCCAGAGGGTGTTCCTGCAGACACTGGAGGAGAGGATCGCCTCTTCACCTGACTTCAGAACGCTGGAGACCCCTGAGCAGTTTAAGGTATGGTAGCTTGGAGCACACACAAACACACGTGACCCCTATGTTACAGCTGCCTCTGCCAACCATCTCTTGCAAAATACACACATGACATGAAACCACATACTCATAGGTTTATTAACCAGTGAGCTATGATGGTGTCCTGTCACACCTTGGGATATTAATTATTGAAGAGATGTCACAGGTTCACACATGGTTGATTTACTGCATCGACATGGCAACGTGTGTGGCCTATTGATTTTGCGATGTTGACTTGGAGAATTGTATCTTGATAAAAGCACTGTACTCAGGGGTTAGAGGGGGCGGGGCCTGGGGGATTTTAAACACTGTCCAATGGGAGGGAGGTGAGAGTGGTCAGGTCACGACTTCACATGTTCTCTCCATCCCTCTCTCCATCACACACTCACACTCTCCCTCCATCTCTCTCTTTCTTTCTTTCTCACTCTCTCTTTCTCTCTCTCTTGTCTCTCTCTGTGTCTCTGTGATTCCAGAAGCTTCTCTTCTCTCTGGGTGGATCCTTCCTGTACTACGCTGATCACTTCAAGCTCTACAGCGGCTTCTGTGCCAACCACATCAAGGTCCAGAAAGTCTTGGAGAGAGGTACGGGTCTCCCCTCTACCCAACGCTGTCCCCCACCCCACATCTGCCCACAATACCCACTTGCACCTCCATTGCATCATCCCCACCATCCCCAGCACTCTATGTAAATGACATGGCTGACTAGGCTCCTACTGTCCAGCATCAATAATGTACTCCAGTAAAATGTCTCTGAGTGGAGCTACTCGCTTGGTAAAAGTAATGTGATGCAATTCCACTTTACTTCAACCGCCTCTTGCGTATTAACTCTATCAATCTGGACTCCCTGCATTCTCTTTCATATCAACTCAACTGTGAATGGCTTCCCATTGTAAAACTGTGAAAGTGCCTAGGCTAGCTGAAGTCCCCCCATTGCGCAGCACAGCTAAAGCTGGTCTATAATGAGAGAAAAACTATTAAACGCTGACAGGGGTAGCGCTAGTCATTTTGAGCACCCCTGTGTAATGATTGAATATAAATGTTGAACTTAATTTATTTCTATGACGTTGGCCTCCTCCGTTTTGGGCACACTGCCCAGCGCAGAATGAATGAAACAAGAGTGGGAAAATTGCACCCCTGTGCCTCTTAAATTCCTCCCATTACAAGATTATGTGCGGCGTTCCTAGAAGCAGGTACCGAAATGGAGTTTTAATGGCGCAGGGAGAATCTGGCAAGTGGTTTGGCCTGTTCCACCACAGTCTCTGATGAATCAGAATGAACTGGAGTAGGAAACAGCATAGTAAACATGATACATCACTACAGCACTACTGTTACAGTGGCGTAGGGCATTAGAGCAGAACTCACAGTATACTACAACACACAGCACAGGCCAGCAGTACACAGCATAGCCTAGCACAGTGGAACCCAGCACAGCTGAATGAGGGTGTTCACAGAGAATCTGTGGGTGTCTGTCAGCGGTTCTAGTAATTACACGTTCTCGTTCTCCCTGGGTTCTCGCTGCGCACACACTTTGTGTTTACTCGTTAATTGCCTGCCAATTACTGTGTGAAGTGTCAATGCGGCTGCCTGTCGGTCTGTGGCTCAGAGTGCTATAATTAATACTCTAATGGCCTCTCAATCGTTCCACACAGAGACGCACGGCAAGGTGGTGAGGAATGTCAACACCTGACCTCCAGAAAGCCTCTCTGTGTTACAGTGCTACACCACGCAGCACCCAATATTAGCATCTCTCCACTCTATACACTGTGAATGAAAATCACTGCAGTGATTCTTTTGAAACATAGTGTCTTTTGAATGGTAGTGTTTTGAGTGGAGTGGCAGTCTCATGTCAACACCATGTTTTACAGAAGCTACAGTGCATTCGGAAAGTATTCAGACCCCTTGACTTTTTCCACATTTTGTTACGTTAGTCTTATTCTAAAATGGATTAAATTGTTTTTTTCCTGTTCATCAATCTACACACATACTCCATAATGACAAAGCTAAAACAGGTTTGCAAATGTATTAAACTGAAATATCACATTTTTCTTACATAAGTATTCAGACCCTGGCCTCCCGAGTGGTGCAGTGTCACTAGAGATCCTGGTTCAAGTCCAGGCTCTGTCGCAGCCGGCCGCAACCGGGAGACCCATAGGGCGGCGCACAATTAGCCCAGCACTGTCCAGGGTAGGGGAGGGTTTGGCCGGCAGGGATGTTCTTGTCCCATCGCGCACTAGCGACTGCTGTGGCGGGCCGGGCACAGTACACACTGACTCGGTCGCCAGGTGTACAGTGTTTCCTCCGTTACATTGGTGCGGCTGGCTTCCGGGTTAAGCGGGCATTGTGTCAAGAAGCAGTGCGGCTGGGTTGGGTTGTGTTTCTGAGGACCCACGGCTCTCGACCTTTGCCTCTCCCGAGTCCATACGGGAGTTGCAGCAATGGGACAAGACTGTAACTACCAATTAGATACCACGAAATTGGGGTAAAAAAATCAAAAATCAAAATAAAACCTAAGTATTCAGACCCTTTACTCAGTACTTAGTTGAAGCACCTTTGGCAGCGATTACAGCCTTGAGTCTTCTTGGGTATGACGCTACAAGCTTGGCACACCTGTATTTGGGGAGTTTCTCCCATTGTTCTCTGCAGATCCTCTCAAGCTCTGTCAGGTTGGATGGGGAGCGTCGCTGCACAACTATTTTCAGGTCTCTCCAGAGATGTTCTATCAGGTTCAAGTCCGGGCTCTGGCTGGGCCACTCAAAGATATTCAGAGACTTGTCCCGAAGCCACTCCTGCGTTGTCTTGGCTGTGTGGTTAGGGTCGTTGTCCTGTTGGAAGGTGAACCTTCGCCTCAGTCTGAGGTCCTGAGCTCTCTGGAGCAGGTTTTCATCAAGGATCTCTCTGTACTTTGCTCCGTTCATCTTTCCCTTGATCCTGACTAGTCTCGGAGTCCCTGCCACTGAAAAACATTCACACAGCATGATGCTGCCACCACCATGCTTCACCGTAGGGATGGTGCCAGGTTTCCTCCAGATGTAACGCTTGGCATTCAGGCCAAAGAGTTCAATCTTGCTTTCATCAGACCATAGAATCGTGTTTCTCATGGTCTGAGAGTCCTTTCGGTGCCTTTTGGCAAACTCCATGTGAGCTGTCATGTGCCTTTTACTGAGGAGTGGCTTCTGTATGGCCACTCTACCATAAAGGCCTGATTGGTGGAGTGCTGCAGAGATGGTTGTCCTTCTGGAAGGTTCTCCCATCTCCACAGAGGAACTCTGGAGCTCTGTCAGAGTGACCATCGGGTTCTTGGTCAAATGCCTGGCCAAGGCCCTTCTCCCCCGATTGCTCAGTTTGGCCGGGCGGCCAGCTCTAGGAAGAGTCTTGGTGGTTCCAAACTTCTTACATTTAAGAATGATGGAGGCCACTGTGTTCTTGGGGAACTTCAATGCTGCAGAAATGTTTTGGTACCCTTCCCTGTGTCTCGACACAATCCTGTCTCGGAGCTCTACGGACAATTCCTTCGACCTCATGGCTTGGTTTTTGCTCTGACATGCACTGTCAACTGTGGGACCTTATATAGACAGGTGTGTGCCTTTTCATGTCCAATCAATTGAATTTACCACAGGTGGACTCCCAAGTTGTAGAAACATCTCAAGGATGATCAATGGAAACAGGATGCACCTGAGCTCAATTTCTAGTCTCATAGCAAAGGGTCTTTATACTCATGTAAGTAAGGTATTTCTGTTTTTTATTTTTAATACATTTGATAACATTTCAAAAAAACTGTTTTCGCTTTGTCATTATGGGGTATGTGTGTAGATTGATGAAGAAGAAAAAAATATTTTATCAATTTTAGAATAAGGCTGTAACGTAACAAAATGTGGAAAAAGTAAAGGGGTCTGAATACTTTCTGAATGCACTGTACCTACCTGCAGTGTTGCCATTTTACTGCAGTCATGCTAGGGTGAGGAGTAGCCTATACTGCCCCCCTGTGGACAAGTATTATTGCACCAAGATACCATGATAGGTCTAATGCTAGCACCACTAGCACCATCCTCCAAGCTTGCGACAGTATGAGAGATGTGATTGAAAATACTGACGTACAGAGCTTGGTAAAGTAAGTCTAATGTTTGTCTGTTGTCTACAGCTAAGACTGACTTGGCCTTTAAGGAGTTCCTGGATGCGAGGAACCCAACGAAGCAGCACTCGTCCACCCTGGAGTCCTACCTGATCAAGCCAGTCCAGAGAGTGTTAAAGTACCCTCTACTGCTCCGAGAGCTAGTGTCCCTCACTGACACAGACAGCGAGGAGCACTACCACCTCACAGGTACATTGAAGATGCACACACACAAACATAACACACACACGCACGCACACACTAACACTTCCCTCTCCTCTTATGTACCCCCAGAGGCCCTGAAGGCCATGGAGAAGGTGGCCAGCCACATCAATGAGATGCAGAAGATCTATGAGGATTATGGCTCTGTGTTTGACCAGCTGGTGGCAGAGCAGAGTGGCCATGAGAAGGAGGTAGCTATACTGTACTGTACCCTGCTGCTCTACCCTCTGCTTCAATTACAGCAGCTTTCATCACACTCACTCATATCTTTAATCTGGACACGTACTTAGGCCAAAACCAGCACAGCCTACGTTTGCTGCATAACCATCAAGGTCAATTCAGTCTATTCAAGGGATCTTGGTGATATGTCTCTTACAGAAACTGGATGGAAATAGCTAAGTTCCCTTGTAGATACTTCCTCCTATAGGTACTCAACATCCACCCCACATAGATGGCACTTGGTTGTGGTAGCTGAAGCCCCATTCCCTGTACACATTACTTAGTACGTCCCTCACACACTGACTGTGGCCCATGGGGTTCCTTCTCTCTCCCAGGTCACAGAGCTTTCCATGGGAGAATTCCTCATGCATTCCTCTGTCGTCTGGCTCAACCCCCATCTCTCGCTGGGCCGCATGAGAAAGGATCCCGAGCTGACCGTGTTTGGTGAGTTGGAGAGACACTGTACCGCTACTGCGGCATTATGGGAAAGAGATTGCCTGGCCCCTGCCAGAGCCAGAGGCGGTTGGCAGTCTGTCTGCCTGGAATCCTATCAAATTCCATTTGAAATGCTGAGTCCACTGGCTTTAGACAAACACATGTAAACACAACACACATTTAATGACTAACTATTAGATAAATGTCTTGTATATCCACCTAAATATTAATGGTACTGTTTAGTGTTACACCAGTATAATTTGGGACTTTTATGGATATAGTGCCAATGTGCTGTAAACTCAGATGTAAAATGCTTCTGAGCGGATGGATTCCCTGTGTACATTCCCAAAGTTGTGTTCATAATCAGTGTTCATGTCCTTTCTCTCATCAGTGTTCAAGAAGGCAGTGATACTTGTCTATAGGGAGAGCAACAAGCTCAAGAAGAAGGTGAGACCTCTCTCTCTATCACTTTCATTTACTTTCATACAAGGGTGAAAGTAAGCCGGTATGGTATGGCATCCCGGCAAAATAAATTGTGTAAGTACGCCGTACCGGTAAAACGTGATTAACACAAAATGCTAAGAAAACTATAGGCTATTACACCATTATGTAACATTACCGCATGTCAGCCGCATGAAAAATGAGCGAATTGACTTGAAACCGGGTGGAATACGCTCCAAATTGCATTGTGGTTTGACCAGAATACTTACTTACATTTCGCCAAGTTGGAGATGAGTGACCGAGGTGGGTGCGGAAAACAGTGGACGCAATTCAGGCTACAAGTGTAGGCCTAATGACAATCGCAGAATGTCATTACAATACATGTAGGTGTTTTGTAGCAGATGTCCCTTTCCATTCATCAAATTGCAGGTGCACAGTCTCGGGGTTGGATGCTGGAAATATTTTGTGAGTGGACAGTCAGATGAAAACATCATGACTGGTTGTGTTTATGCCACATTAAAAGTCATAGGTGGTGTGTCCATAAGGCTAGGGGAAGCTACGCTTTCCCTAAAGCAAATTTCCATTTCCAAAATTATATAGCCTACTCCTGTCTATACAGAAATAAATAAAATCACTCAAAATAGGCTACTACATCAGAAAGCATGATTTGGCCACAGAGGATCATTAGCTTAAAAAGCTGTGGATTGTTTTAAATCGCATAGCCTACAGTTGGAAGGGCCTGCAAATTGGGCAGCATGCGCTGCAAATACCAAATTAATTATTGTTGAGTTGTGACTGTCAGTGAAAAGCAGAGAGACTCAGCCAGGCATATTGCAATATTTAATAATACAACAGTTTGGAAAGCATATGGCTATTGCTGTAAAGAGAAGACAATGAAAGACTCCAGTCTGTCTTTTAGTTATCAAAATTCTCAACTTAATTGAGCAAACAGTAGCCTATCTTATTGGCACCAGCGGAAAACACCGGCCATATCCCCGGTGAGTGTGCATATTAACTTTATCATTGGGTCAGTGCCACTTTTATTTGTTTTTGGACAATCATCTCCTCCTCCAGGTTAGATGGACGTCATATTGTATTTGTGTCTCCCCTTTTCGTAGGCCGATTATATGGATCAGACAATGTTGTTTTTATTGATCTGTTTGTCAGTGTCAGCAGAGTAGGCTACCCTGTAATGTTTGTCATATTAAAAAAGATTCTGCTAATGTCTCCAGTCATATAAAGTGTAGTAGAATTGCATGACATTTGTTTATAAAAAGGCCAATATTTTCCTGTGCGAAGAAAGGAGCAGAAATGTATCTGATATAGCCTAGGCCTACTCTACTCACCACTAGGCGCTGCATTGAACAGTATTTTCTGCAAACATTGAGTGTACAAAACATTAGGAACATGACAGACTGACCAGGGGAATCCAGATGAAAGCTATGATCCCTTATTGATGTCACCTGTTAAATCCACTACAATCAGTGTAGATGAAGGGGAGGAGACAGGTTAAAGAAGGATTTTTAAGCCTTGAGACAATTGAGACATGGATTGTCTATGTGTGCCATTCAGATGGTGAATGGGCAAGACAAAAGATTAAAGTGCCTTTGAACGGGGTATGGTAGTAGGTGCCAGGTGCACTGGTTTGTGTGTCAAGAACTGCAACGCTGCTGGGTTTTTCACCCTCAACAGTTTCCCATGTGTATCAAGAATGGTCCACCACCCAAAGGACATCCAGCCAACAGCAGGCCAGTAGTCGAAAACGGGTTATTGATGAAAGAGGACAAAGGAGGCTGGCACAAATTGTGCAACAGACAGGCTACAGTTAGTCAACTGACAGTCCAGTACAACACTGGTGCCCAAAGACCCATAAAAGAATGCACAACTCGTTGTACCTTGACACAAATGGGGTATGGTAGCCGACGACCTTACAGAGTTCCACTTCTTTCAGCAAAAAACAAGAAACTGCGGTTGCAGTGGGCTAAGGAATGAAAATTGAAAAATATTGCCTGGTCTGATGAATCCCGGTTCCTGCTGTTTCAAGCTGATGGGAGGACTAGGGTATGGAGAAAACCACATGAGTACATGCATCCATCATACCGCGTGTCAGCATTGCAGGCTGGTGGTGGTGGTGTGGGGTGTGTTTCCATGGCACACATTGGGCCCCTTGATAAAAGTGGAGCAACGTTTGAATGCCACAAGATATCCGAACATCATTGCCAATCAGGTGCTTCCCTTCATGGCAGCAGTGTATCCATCTGCAAATTGATTTTTTCAGCAGGATAATGCCCCATGCCAGAAGGCTAGGAATGGTTCCATGAACATGACAGTGAATTCAGCTTACTGCAGTGGCCTGCCCAGTCACCAGATCTTAATCCAATTGAGCATCTGTGGGATGAGATGGAACGAGCTATTCAGAGTAGAGATACTACCAGCCAACTTGACACAACTGTGGGAAGCATTGGAGTCAACATGGGCAAGCATCCCTCTTAGGGTTGAATGGCGGGAACCCGGTTACTGAGATTTACCAGAATTTATGGCGCAAAACCACTCCCTTTTCCCAGAATAAATAACTGAGAGAAACCGGTAAATTAAAATAAATTATTTATATGAACAGCATGGCATGAAATGGAATGTTAAATTTTATGCAATGTCTAAATCTGGCTTCTCTACGGCCTCTGCATGATCAATCATCAACGCTCAGGGTGGGGACAGACAGCCCATCTCAGTATGGAGCGCAGTTCACAATGCATGTAGACCTATCATCTCATCATGGTAACTTTTTTTCTTGTTGCAGATAGGCCTGCATTTGCTGCAGCAAAGTCTATGCTACAGTAATATAAAGACCGAACGAGTGTCTAATTTACACATCTCCATCTGGCTTTCGGGGGTCACCATATTTTTTTATTGTAAAGATTTTTTGATTGCAGCAGCAGAGTTTTAAAACAGCCTAAAACTAAAATATCGTTGCTTTAAATCAGTCTTTCTCTCACCATCAACTCCATTCAAATTGCATCCAAAATAGATAATCCTGTTCTAGATTGAGAACTAGACCTATATAGATGTCCTAGCCTACCTCTTTCAGGCAATAAATTCAATGCAGTATTAGCCTTATGTTTAGCTAATTAATGATGGGTTATGCAAAATAAGCTTCTAACTTGCGCAAGTCTCTTGCGCAATAAGCAAGTACCTGTGCTCCTGTGGCCTCTATCCTTAAAAAAACGTCTTAACTCTTGGAGTCCCATGCAGGAAAAGCTAGACTAGAAAAGCTTGCTGGACATAATTTTTTTATACCAATAGACTATTTGAAGAGGGACTCAAGCTCTTGTTTGCTGAATGTTAAATACAGCAGCCAATAGAACTCACGGGTAGTTTGAAAGAAGAGCGAACATGCGATGGTGGTAGGCTATAGCAGTTATTTATTCTGACCCATAACCATTCAATCTTCGTGAAGAGAAGTGAAAGCCTTCTTTCTGCATCTAATTCTAGTCCTATATTATTCAAGGATGACAACGAAACGCATTTAATTTAACTGTTGAAAGCGAGGAAGGAATGAAGCAACAATAGAGAGAGAAAGAGGAGGTAGGCTAATAGCTTTAGGGGAAATATTATGAAAGGTATATATGCATCAGTCTACTAATTATACAAATAGGACCTATTATATTTCAAGTTCGCTAGCCTATACTTGTAACTTTGTAGGCAGCATGGTTTCAACGATGTGCATAATTCCAGTCCATATATATATTTATTTTTTATTTAACCTTTATTTAACTAGGCAAGTCAGTTAAGAACAAATTCTTATTTACAATGACGGCCTACACCGGCCAAACCCGGACGACGCTGGGCCAATTGTGCGCCGCCCTATGGGACTCCCAATCACGGCCGGTTGTGATACAGCCTGGAATCGAACCAGGGGGTCTGTAGTGACGCCTCAAGCACTGAGATGCAGTGCCTTAGACCGCTGCGCCACTCGGGAGCCCAATACAGTATAATACAATACAGTAATACTCAAAATGATTAGCCTACTGGAGCTTGTTTCATTTATTTACCCAAGAGAGCATATAGCTAGCATAGGACTATTTATATGCTTTTGAATGACACTTCCGGTTTTGGCTGGAAATACTGGGTTACCCGGGAGAAAAGTGATTTATTCTCGGGATGGAACACTTGTAAAATACTGGGAAAATGTAATCCATGTGGAACGCTTTCGACATCTTGTAGAGTCCATGCCCTGACGAATTGAGGCTGTTCTGAGGGCAAAAGGGGATGCAACTCAATATTAGGAAGGTGTTCCTAATGTTTTGTACACTGTATATTATTAGCCTAAATTATGACTATCTAATCATCACATTAGTAATAGTAGGCTATCTTACATACGTCTGCAAATGCGAGGATGCATGAAATGCTTTATTATAAAAATGCATTTTTATGGGGAAAATGTGCTTCCCCGGACATGAAACCCACTCACCGCCTATGTTAAAAGGTATTACATGTTAAAAGTGATATGACCAATCTTTACTAGGCCCACAGACATCATATATGAAATGAATAGGGATTCTATATGTAATTCTATGATTACACCCCTAGGCTATATTTTTTAAAATTGTGCGAGAGCTTGCAGGTCCCGTACTGATAAGAAATGTACTTTCACATGCCTTTGATGTCAACAGTGCCTAACCTCTCTCTCTCTCGTGTGTGTGCAGACCGCCCCTCGCTCGGCGCACTCCCATGGAGACCTAGACCCCTTCAAATTCCGCTGGCTCATCCCGCTCTCTGCACTGCAGGTCCGACTAGGCAACGCTACAGGTAAGAGAGCAAGACACACACACACACACACACACTCCTTTAGACAGACACACAAACATGCACATACCCTCCTGGCTCTCATTAACTATATAAGAGATCACATTCTCTTGGATTTTGAGTCTTTTGAATGTAGATGTGTTGATTAAAAGGAGCTTCTCCAATCTCTTCCCCCTAGGAACTGAGACTACCTGCATCTGGGAGCTGATACATACCAAGTCTGAACTGGAGGGAAGGCCAGAGACTGTCTTCCAGCTGTGTAGCAGGTAAGAGAGAGCAGCAGTTTTGACTGGAGACTATGGATCTATAGCTCTTGTCCTTGACTGCCTTCTACAAGGTTAGGGAGGTGCATGGACTCTCTAGCCAATCAGTGGTCCATTGAGTGTCAGGGGAAAATGATCCCCAGCAGGACAGTGGTCCCAGAGGAGTGGCGGGGTGCCCCCCTACTGTAAACTCACTGAGTGAATTAGCCCTTTTCTATCAGAGTATGGTATATAAAGATTCCCGCTGTCTCCCTCCCAGTGTCCCAGAGTGCAAAGTCAACATCATCAAGGTCATCCGCTCCATCCTCCGGGAAAACGTCAGGCGGAACATGCTCCCGGCCGAGAGGCGGTGTAAGGAGCGCCTCACGCCTCTACGCAGCACCCTGCCCTCCTCTGCCAGGATAGGTGAGTCCCATCCCTACCCTGTTCCAAAAAATCACTTAAAATAACACTGCTTTGATTTCTATTTAAGTGATAATGCCCTCGAAGCCGGTGTTTGGAGGATATATTGGCACGGGTGTCCGTCGAGGGCCGGCAAACTGTGCCAATATATCCTCCTAACACCTGCTTCGAGGGCATTATCACTTTTATACAACGGGTTACCAACATATTCAAATAATGATTGACACATTTTCATTAAAAACGTTACTTTGATGAATTTATTCATACTATTTCATCCTTCCACAAGATATAGTCCCGACACAAATCTAGGGTTGCTACCCAAGCAAAATGGTCGTTTGTTCTATCGGTTCGGTTGCCAGAGACGCTACCCAGTCGTTCAGCTGGAGATTGAATTTGAATATTGAAACAATGTTGCAAATGTCGGAGAGCCAGACAGCAAGGTTTATACAAATCTCTGCTGTTGAAAACTAAATGTTAGTCCAAAAGAAATGTGACAATGTCTAGATGCTGTTTATAGTGGAGATTAAGTTGATAAATTACCTGGCTGGGCTGATGAGACAGTGGATTGCGCAGTCAGATGGAACAGAGTAAATAGGCATTTTAACATCATAGATTTAGTCGGTGGTAACTTGTGGAACAGACACCGGCTGGAATGCGGTTTTAACCAATCAGCATTCAGGATTAGACCCACCCATTGTATAACTTTAAATAACATGACCTTGACTTAAAGATTATAAGCCCTCATTGACTTACATACACTAGTGTCTGTGCCCAAATATGAGTGAGTATATTGCTCAGTTAGCAATTCTCTCACTCTCTCTTCCATCCCCCACCAGGTTCGTCCAGAGCCACCTGGCTGTGTAAGCAGCCCAAGCTGGATCTCCCCACCCCAACCAGCACACTGAAACCTGGCCAGCCTGACTCTGACGAGGGCAGCCTGAGCAGCGGCACCCACAGCTCCTCTGGAGCTCCCCCAGCCAACGGTCCCACACAGCCCAAGACACTGCCCACCCGACAGGCCTGGTCCCGGGGCTTCCGGCATAGCCAGCGCTCCTCTGTCTCTAGCTCCGTGAAGGAGTCAGACATTCTGAGTGATGAGGACGATGATGAGTTCAGTGAGTCTGGGGGGCGGCAGGAGGGGCAAGGGAGCTCCCCGACGAGCGCCATCGAGGCCCAGTTTCTCAGTCTGAGGCTGTCGGAGGAGGCAGCGTCCTCCCGGGCGCCGGCCCCCCGCGTGCAGCCAGAGGGTGCGGAGGTGGACACCCCGGAGAGCCCGCCCAAACTGGTTCAGGGCCACCACTGCCCCGTGAAGAGGAAAGACAGCAGCAGCCAGCGGTATAGCCAGGGGGCGCTACTGAGCCTGAGGGAACACAGCCGTTCCATGGACAGCCAGACGGACGTGGCAGCGATGGACCTCAACACTCTACTGGAGAGAGAGTTCAGTGTGCAGAGCCTCACCTCCGTGGTCAACGAGGACTGTTTCTACGACCCTACGGACTCTTCAGACACCACAGATACCACATACACTGGCAGTGCCCCCAACTCCTCGTAGGGTCAGGGATGGACACAAGGAGAGGAAGAAGGACCAAACCTCTGCCCTGCCCCCGCTCCCTGCCTCAGGGCATGGGAAACCCTGGTTCTGTTCTGTCCTAGTCCCAGGGTCTCACAGGGTTCTGTTGTGCCTCAGCTCTGAAGTTAAACTGTGTTCCTGTGAGAGCGTGCAGTAGGCTGGTCGTTCCATGAAATTAGTCCTTTTGGGTAGTGTTTTATTTCACCTAATTTTTACATTGTCATGAAGAGCACATGTTCAAATGAATAAAAAACATGTTTTTCCATCTCAAAAATGACTATAGTAAATGCCTATTAAGTGCCAAATAAAGTAACAGGGTTGACCATAACAGGGTTGATGATTTAATCTTAAATCAGAGATAAATCCCCTTGTGACAGGGGGAATGGAAGCATGCTGTGTGCAACCGGGAGGGACAATTTAATGCACGCAAAATATATATTTTAATTACCTTAAAATGAATAACTAATCACATGAAATGAATAATAATCTTCAGAAATGACATTGTCAAAGCAACAAAATAACTAGGGCTTTATGTTGATGGTGAAAACCTGGGAGAAATGTTGGGGTAAGTAGGTTAACATCTTATTAGAAGTCACATATGATACACAGAGGGACATGTCGATTTATTGAATGTTCCATGTTGGGCACTAAAGGGCACTTCATTTAATAGAACAGGATTTTAAAATTAAATATTGGTGCACAATTTCTACTGAAAATATCAAAGGAACGCAAAAAGGGACTCATTTCGTGGAACGACCAAGGCAGATCCCACCTGCTTAGCTATGCACAGGTGTAAAAGGACAGATGAGTTGCCTTTGACTCAGCGACATGGTTTTCCCCCTAGAGAGAGATGAGGTGACTCTGTCCCTGATAATGACTGCAATGAATCTGCTGAGCACTGATGCACAACGTAGCTCCGCCTCCACCCAGCGCTCTACTGTATATGCCTCACTCTGCCCAGCTCCCCTTCTCTAAGGGGCCATCTCAATTGGCTTCCTCCCCTCGTCTCCTTGATATAGGATAATTTGATGGATAGACTTTGCTCTCACCTGTCCACTTAATTCACATCAGTCAGATTGAGGAGAGGATGCCACTTGAGACTAATGAGATTCACCCTAAAAGCTTCACTTTAACTCAAAACTTCCTGTAAGAAGTTAGGGCTCTATTTCAATCCGTATCACCGGAAGTTCAGCGTTACAACGTGATTGAACTTTAAATGCAATGTTCCTGCGTTAGCGGAGACTGCATTCACGGTAAATGCTGCATATGTCGGCTCAATCGGAAATTACCTTTACATTTCTACCGCTCAATCTGTAACGCTTTATCAATACAGATTGAACAGAGCCCTTAATCTGAATCAACGACACGACAGGATAGGACAGGATGATTGGACATTGATTTTATTGCGACTCTGCCTTGTTGTATTTTGTGCACTAAAGTACACTGTTTGCCTATATTTGAAACATCCTTTATTTGTACATTATGGGATTTTTGTTGTTTTTAAGCAATGTTTATTTATTGATAGTTGTAATTTTTTATTGATTTGCTAAATAAGTATTGGGTTAAGGCTTGAATTGAAGAATCTGGAGAATTAGTTTTATTTTCAGTGTATTGAATACGAGTATGGTTGTCATCCTCCCAAAGTGTAGCTTCCAATGTACAGGTGTTGTCAAAATAAAACGGCATGATTTAATTTAAACCATGTGTTGTCAACTTGCCCTGTTTGCAGCTCCCATACCCAATACTTTTCTTTATGTTCTTGTTTACATATTTTTCCAGAATAGCTGTACTGTAACTTAATTTAAATATTGTATATTCTTACACATACTTGACATTGTACAGGTAGATAAGGCTGTAACTTGCAATAAATACAGTATCTAGTACAAAAGTGGTTTGGGCATATTTTTGTAAAGGTACTTATTATTTAGCTGTTGCATCTTGAAGATACTGGTGAGAGATCCTATTATCTGACAACTCACCACCACATACCCTCCCTCTGATTGCCCTCAACTCCACTGTAAACATGCCTTTAATGCTAGCGTACCAATGAATATGAATGTGAAAAGCCCCTTTTCTTATGGAACTGTTTTATAAATAAACGTTTTTATCTGTGAGATGCGGTCTTGTGAGAGCGCTTGTTTTATCCAGTTGTATTTCAAAGCTGCCTCAGTCTGGCTTTGAGAATCTATATTCTTCCTATGAGCTTATCTCATTGACAGGTAAAGCACAGGTAAGATGAAAGTTTTTATTTCCAGCTCCATCCTAAGGCTAAGCTTGGCATTCCTTGTTGATGAGCTGTCAGAAAAATGGAGAATCCTTGTTCTCTACGTTGGACCAATGATATACAGTGCTATGAAAAAGTATTTGCCCCCTTTCTAATTTTCTCTACTTTTGCATATTTGTGATACTGAATGTTATCAGATATTCAACCAAAACCTAATATTAGATAAAGGGAACATAAGTGAACAAATAACACAACAATTACATATTTATTTCATAAACAAAGTTATGCAACACCCAATTCCCCTGTGTGAAAAAGTAATTGCCACCTTTAGCTGCAATGACTCCAACCAAATGCTTCCTGTAGTTGTTGATCAGTCTCTCACGTCGCAGTGGAGGAATTTTAGCCCACTCTTCCATGCAGAACTGCTTTAACTCAGTGACGTGTGGGTTTTCAAGCATGAACTGCTCGTTTCAAGTCCTGCCACAACATCTCAATTGGGATTAGGTCTGGACTTTGACTAGGCCATTCCAAAACTTCCAATTTGTTGCTTTTTAGCAATTTTCATGTAGACTTGATTGTGTGTTTTGGATAATTGTCTTGCTGCATGACCCAGCTGCGCTTCAGCTCACAGACGGATGGTCTGAAATTCTCCTGTAGAATTCTCTGATACAGAGCAGAATTCATGGTTCCTTCTATTAAGGCAAGTCGTCCAGGTCCTGATGCAGCAAAGCATCCCCAAACCATCACACCACCACCATGCTTGACCTTTGGTATGATGTTCTTACTGTGGAATGCAGAGTTTGGTTTTTGCCAGGCATTACTGGAACCATCTGTCCAAAAAGTTATACTTTTGAATCATCTGTCCATAGAACGTTCTTCCAAGAGTCTTGATGATCATCCAGGTGCTTTTTGGCAAACTTGAGTCAACTTTTTGGACGAGATGAGTCCCATTATGCCTGGCGAAAACCAAACACTGCATTCCACAGTAAGAACATCATACCAAAGGTCAAGCATGGTGGTGGTGGTGTGATGGTTTGGGGATGCTTTGCTGCCTCAGGACCTGGACGACTTGCCTTAATAGAAGGAACCATGAATTCTGCTCTGTATCAGATAATTCTACAGGAGAATGTCAGACCATCCGTCTGTGAGCTGAAGCTGAAGCGCAGCTGGGTCATGCAGCAAGACAATGATCCAAAACACACAATCAAGTCTACATGAAAATTGCTAAAAAGCAACAAATTGGAAGTTTTGGAATGTCCAGACCTAATCCCAATTGAGATGTTGTGGCAGGACTTGAAACGAGCAGTTTATGCTTCAAAACCCACACGTCATTGAGTTAAAGGAATTCTGCATGGAAGAGTGGGCCACAATTCCTCCACAGCGACGTGAGAGACTGATCAACAACTACAGGAAGCATTTGGTTGGAGTCATTGCAGCTAAAGGTGGCACAACCAGTTATTGAGTGTAAGGGGGCAATTACTTTTTCACACAGGGGAATTGGGTGTTGCATAACTTTATGAAATAAATATGTAATTGTTGTGTTATTTGTTCACTTATGTTCCCTTTATCTAATATTAGGTTTTGGTTGAAGATCTGATAACATTCAGTATAAAAAATATGCAAAAGTAGAGAAAATTAGAAAGGGGCCAAATACTTTTTCATAGCACTGTAGGTAATTAAGTGACAGAAGCAGAGTAGGAGGAAGAAACATGCCAAAAAAAAACATTGCCAGGATTTTTATTTTTACACATCTGAGGATAGTACAGCACATCTAATCAAACAAATGAATGAAACAATAGTATTGTACTATCATCACTCACCCACAATCTTCAAAACAGATGGCCAGCATTTTATTTATAACAAGGCACTCACATTAGAGTCCTCTCACTTTTGATGATTTTAGGATTTCAATAGCCTCATCAAGAGCTGACAACTTTCCAACAGCACCCCCCCCCCCACCCCATCTCCCCAGTAAGTGAACCGTCAACATGTTCTCATTCTCTAAATTGTCCTGAAAATGTTTCCGGACTCCATCTCCCAGAGGATGAGGTGTTATGGGGAAAGCTGGATCGGAGGTAAGAACCAGGGCATAGTGCATGAGAGCTTGAGGCGGTAGTTAGCCTAGCGGTTAGAGCGTTGGTAACCGAAAGGTCGCTAGTTTGAGTTCCCGATCCGACAAGGTAAAAAATCTGGCGCTGTGCCCTTGAGCAAGGCATGTAACCCTAATCGCTCTAGGGTCACCGTTGATAAAGACTGACCCTGTCTGTGACCCCACTTTCCAAGGGTGAATCAGGGAGTTGGGATATAAAAAATATAAAAATAAAAAATAAAGAAATTCCTTGTACATGTGTGAAATATGACAAATATAAGCACCCACCAAATTATTATTACATCTCGCAATAAAATCTCCTTCTGGTCACTTCACACACTCTATTCTTCCTTTACAACTGGACTGGAGTGCCTGAGCTCTAGTTAAGTATGTGTGTTAGCTACACTAGCTGTTCCAGTTTGGACCGAGGCCCATAGTCTCTCCCTCTCCAGCCAAAGCCAGTGTTCAGTTCTCCCCCCTGTTGTTTCCACCACAGTCCCTCTCTATTCTATTCCATCTAGGATTCATTGTCTCACCCAGTGCCTCTGGGACACCAGTGAAATGGTGTTTAAAAATGCATGCGTGTGCCATGTGGAAATGTCAGAGCTAAGAGCAGTCCGTTGTCTCTCTCGTCACTAACAGAGACCATTAGGCGTTCCTTCCACTCCGCCCTTTAAGTGTCTCTCTCTGTCAGACGGGCTGCTGAGTACCATTAGTGCTGCTGCCCGGTCGCCGGTTAAGGTGTTTGAGTCGGAGTTCCTCTCTGAAGTCGTAGGTGAGGAGACCCTGGTTCTCAGAGCAGAGGTGGCTGTAGGCGTCCGCCAGGGCTCTGATGTCAAGGATGGAGAGCTCCGTGGGGCGCAGGGTGGGGTCCACGTCCGCCTCACGCATCATCACCTCCGCCAGCTCCAGCCGTTGCGCCTCCGGGAACAGCATTCTGGGAAAAGAACACAGATATAGTCTCAGGTGGCTTCCTGTCCATCATGGCCACTCATAGGTACAGTACAGGGCCAGATGGAATCTGCTGAGGTTTTTCCTTAAGCTTTCAGCAATCATTTTCTAACTAAAAAATATCAGGAGTTAATATAAATCAAACAAAATGCTGCCACAAAGAGCATAAATAAATAATGTAATTGTGATTAAATATGCAGACAAAGCTGTTAGGGTGTTAAAAAGAAGATTAAAAAAACGTCAGCGAAGAATCCATCGGACCGTACTGTAGATGGAAATAACTAATACAAATGCTTTCTATTCAGTTCTCCTGTCATGTCCTCTCAGATCATTGGTCACGGAAAGGAGATGAGAAGAAGAAACAATTGAAGACTATAGACTAGTCTTAGCCCCAGATGCCCTCACCAACGTCATGGGTTTTCACAGAGTTAGCATACAGAACCCAACTTCAAGAGCATCATAGCACAGCCAAAACACCCACATACCCAGTACAGATGCTTGCTTAGCGCTTCAGCTCCAGAGAGCTCATACACAAGCTGTTAAAGCTGCCTCTCCGCCCCCTGTAGTTACATAATTTATCATGCTTTGTCTTCCTATGACACCCCAATGACTCATAACTGCTGCTCTCTTATTTTGTTCTCTGGGCCTACTCCTCACAGGCATGGTGGCGGCAGGGGACAGAAGGAGTGAGAGAGAGCCATGAGGAGCTTTGTATAGAGCTGGTCAAGGATGAACAGAGTTCACTTAATGTGGAATGTAACAAAGAGAGCGTGTGTGAGTGAGTGAGTGAGTGAGAGAGAGAACTTGGACCGTGTGAAGTAGAAGGAGGGGTAGAAATATTGCTTACTCAAGTCCTTTGCGGCAGTGCTTCCTCCGGAATTGGAATACGTTCCTGACTACTTTCTCCACCAGCTTAAAGGGCTGCTGGATCTGGGGCTGAGTCAGAGGTGTGAAGTGTACCACCCCCACGTCCACCTACACACACAAGCAGCAGGGGTTCAAATAGATCTGTAGGCAACACTGAAGAGGATCCGCTCCTTGTAGCAAAAAGACAGTGGAGGAGAGGGAGAAGAGAGACAGGGTGGAGAGAGAGGGAAACAGGTGACGCAGCATGCGATGGATGGCAAGCCAGTTCCTGTTGCCACAGTAACAACTGTGCAAAAGAGCAGAAAAAGCCAGCCCTCTTCCTGTTAATGCTGCCACTCAGCCTGCGTCGAGACACGAGGTGACACATTCAAACGCACTTCTTCTTCCCTAGCCTTCCTCTCCATTGTTTCTGTGGGGAGTCCAGCGGCTTGCTGTACTGTAGCTTCAGCCTCAGACCCAGAGGGATGGAGGAACCAGACAGGGGAACACAGAAGGCAGGGTTGGCCCAGCACACAGATCTTCCAAGGGGGAGCGCTGGGCTAGTGTGAATCCTGGCTGTGGTTCCCCTCTCTAGCCGCCTCTCTGCCTCCCAATCCTCCTGTCATAGCTAAGCTGACATGACAAACTGTTGGAAGTAATTGTGCCAGACTCCGCAGAGCCTAGTCCTACTCAGATCTCTCCTCCTCCCAAACTCCCCCTCTCTCTCTGCCCCTCTCTTCCTCACTCGCTCTCTGCCTGTCTGAGGGTAATAAAGGGATTGAGCTCAAAGACCTACAACACACAAAAGAACAACTTTTATTTTGGTGGATCTGTGAATGTGCAGTAGGAAAGCAAAGCTTCCTCCCTCTCTCTTACATTAGGCTTCCAGGGGGGTCTAATGCAGATCAGGAACCAGACTTACAGCACAGCCAGTCTGAGGAGTGGAGTGGAGCTATGGACCAATGACACGGCAGCGCCAGCGAGACACTGGGCAACAGAGCGGAGCGCTGTAGCCTACCTGGCTACCTGCATTCACCTGGTAATATCCTTATTTCTTTGGTGTGAGCGCCGCTCAAGGGAACCACTGACTGACTGACTGACTGACTGACTGACTCTGGGGACCAGCGCGGCTCACTTCTCTGTTCACAGGGAGGGGAGAGGAGGTGCAGCCTGAGACAGCCGAGGACACCACAACACTGCCAGAAGGATACAGTCTGGACAGACGGACACACAGACATTTACACAGGTATGTGAAAGAGAATACAGAGGATACAATGCGAGGCAGATGATACAGAGTGGATGGATAGAAAACAAACAACAAACACAGGTATGTGAGTGCCAGCACAGCTCTTTTACAGCACAGCTTTCCTGTTGAGACAACCTACCCCAAGGTACTACCTCCAGCAGCATCTGTGTTGGTTGTGACTCACCTTACTCTATCTTCCTTTGTTATTCTGGGCTGGTGAAGGGGATGGGCAGGATAATTGGGGGAGGAAAACTAAAGTGGTCCAAGGACGTGATGGAGGCTTTCTAATGAGCCGTTTAGATTCTGTCCCTCCCGTGCCTTGGCATGCTGCAGTGTCTGGATGGGCTTGTAAACCAGGACCGCTATCTACTATCTCATCTGATCTTTAGCTCTGTATGTTGCTGCCTGCCTTACTGTCTGCCTGCCGCAGTGGCATGGGACACCACCGCTAGACTGGAGCCTAGTTGTCAGAGAAGCCAGCTATATTGTAGACTATAGAGTACAGCTAACTCATGGGCTGCTCCCTTCACTATACAGTGCATTCGGAAAGTATTCAGACCCCTTGACTTTTTCCACATTTTGTTACAGCCTAATTCTAAAATGGATTAAATAAAACATTTTCCTCAAACTATACGCAATACCCCATAATGACAAAGCGAAAACAGGTTTTTTGATTTTTTTAGCAAATATATTAAAATAAAAAACAGATACCTTATTTACACAAGTATTCAGACCCTTTGCTATGAGACTCGAAACTGAGCCCAGGTGCATCCAGTTTCCATTGATCATCCTTGAGATGTTTCTACAACTTGATTGGAGTCCACCTGTGGTAAATCCAATTGATTTGACATGATTTGGAAAAGCACACCTGTCTATATAAGGTCCCACAGTTGACAGTGCATGCCAGAGCAAAAACCAAGCCATGAAGTCGAAGGAATTGTCCGTAGAGCTCCGAGACAGGATTGTGTCGAGGCACAGATCTGGGGAAGGGTACCCAAAAAGTTCTGCAGCATTGAAGGTCCCCAAGAACACAGTGGCCTCCATCATTCTTAAATGTAAGAAGTTTGGAACCACCAAGACTCTTCCTAGAACTGGCCGCCCGGCCAAACTGAGCAATCGGGGGAGAAGGGCCTTGGCCAGGCAGGTGACCAAGAACCCGATGGTCACTCTGACAGAGCTCCAGAGTTCCTCTGTGGAGATGGGAGAACCTTCCAGAAGGACAACCATCTCTGCAGCACTCCACCAATCAGGCCTTTATGGTAGAGTGGCCTATAGAAGCCACTCCTCAGTAAAAGGCACATGACAGCTCACGTGGAGTTTGCCAAAAGGCACCTAAAGGACTCTCAGACCATGAGAAACAAGATTCTCTGGTCTGATGAAACCAAGATTGAACTCCTTGGCCTGAATGCCAAGCATCACATCTGGAAACCTGGCACCATCCCTACGGTGAAGCATAGTGGTGGCCACATCATGCTGTGAGGATATTTTTCAGCGGCAGGGACTGGGAGACTAGTCAGGATCGAGGGAAAGATGAGCGGGGAAAAGTACAGAGAGATCCTTGATGAAAACCTGCTCCAGAGTGCTCAGGACCTCAGACTGGGGAGAAGGTTCACCTTCCAACAGGACCATGACCCTAAGCACACAACCAAGACAACGCAGGAGTGGCTTCGGGACAAGTCTCAATGTCCTTGAGTGGCACAGCCAGAGCCCGGACTTGAACCCGATCGAACATCTCTGGAGAGACCTGAAAATAGCTGTGCAGCGACGCTCCCCATCCAACCTGACAGAGCTTGAGAGGATCTGCAGAGAACAATGGGAGAAACTCCCCAAATACAGGTGTGCCAAGCTTGTAGCGTCATACCAAAGAAGACTCAAGGCTGTAATCGCTGCCAAAGGTGATTCAACTAAGTACTGAGTAAAAGGTCTGAATACTTATGTAAATGTGATCTTTCAGTTGTTGTCTTTTTATACATTTGCAAACATTTCTAAAAACCTGTTTTTGCTTTGTTATTATGGGGTATTGTGTGTAGATTGATGAGGGGGAAAAAACAATTTAATAAATTTTAGAATAAGGCTGTAATGTAACAAAATGTGAAAAAATTCAAGGGGTCTGAATACTTTCCGAATGCACTGTAAATTAGAGCAGGGGTTCTTCAACGTTTTCAGCTCAAGACCCAAATGTAAAATGTACTGTCCTCCCGTGACCCAAATTAAGAAGAAATTGTGTGTGATTATAGATGTATTCTCATAACTCGCGACACACCTCTCACATGCACACTTTTGGTCCCGACCCATAGTTTAAGAAACCCAGAGTTGGAGGAAGACGAGAGGGTTTTGGACACCAGTTACAGTAGACTTTCAGGGCAGGGAGGAGAAGCGCTGCATTGCTTTGTGATATACTGGGGCTGAAAATAATATTTGTGACAGGAGCTTTCATGAGAAATTGACTCATCTGCATCAATTGGGCGGAACGAGGCTGACATTAGGAAAATCAATTCTTCCACCGGTCACCTAAAAATGCTAGGATGATGGGATGAGGGGTGGTCTCATACCCTGGTACTGCAGTATGCCTTTAGCAGAATACACACACACACACTGAGTGATGCAGCATCAGACCACCATCTGGTCTCGAGAAGTAATAGAAAATAATGGCTTTAATTTCACTCTCCTGGAGTAATTAGGCCATTTATTTTCCACACTTCATGATTTAAGAGAGGAGCAGGGGGCTGTCGATATTCAGACTATACAGGCAGCAGCATTTCAGCCGTAGGCTTGTCCGACTCACTTTGCCTTGTGATTTATGAACGGCCCGCTACATGGCCTCACTAGGTGCTCTGCTGTAATATATCCCCCTCCTGCCATTAATCCTCCTCTGATAACCTTAACACGCAAGAAACTTCAATCTTAAATCATACGCCGCCGCCTCCACCCTGCACGCCAGCGCTTTGAAAATGCTCCTGCTCAAATAGTTTGCATGTGGTGGGAGATGGTGAACTAGGAATCCGAGACTGACTTATTGACCCTGTGACAACCTTAATATCTCTCCCTGGTTCTCACTCTCACTCTCTTCCATCCTCCTCCTTCCTTTCAGCTGGTGGGAGGGTGTATGATGAGGCCTGGTTGGATGAAAGTCTGATGATTGGAATGTAAATAGGACTTCATGTTGTAACGAACATGCTTTTTAACAGCGCAGAAAGAAAATCATAACCCCTAATGATATCTAGATTAATTTTGCTACTCCAAATTGGCTCGTTATATAAGGATCTACATAAAATGTATCCAGCTCTCTCCATGGCTAATTTAGTCCTCCTGCCTTTTTTCAACTTCAAACATTTACAGAGAATTTGAACCAACCAACTTTCCCTCTTGCACACTAATCCTGTATGCTAAATAATCTTACTAACTCAACCTTTGGTGGTCCTCTGTAGCTCAGCTGGTAGAGCACGGCGCGTATAACGCCAAGGTAGTGGGTTCGATCCCCGGGACCACCCATACACAAAAAAATGTATGCACGCATGACTGTAAGTCGCTTTGGATAAAAGCGTCTGCTAAATGGCATATTATATTATTATTATACATTTCTTTTACACACAGTAGTCTTTCCATCCATATCTGGCAAGGTATCACGATATACAGTGGGGAGAACAAGTATTTGATCCACTGCCGATTTTGCAGGTTTTCCTACTTACAAAGCATGTAGAGGTCTGTAATTATTATCATAGGTACACTTCAACTGTGAGAGACGGAATCTAAAACAAAAATCCAGAAAATCACATTGTATGATTTTTAAGTAATTAATTTGCATTTTATTGCATGACATAAGTATTTGATACATCAGAAAAGCAGAACTTAATATTTGGTACAGAAACCTTTGTTTGCAATTACAGAGATCATACGTTTCCTGTAGGTCTTGACCAGGTTTGCACACACTGCAGCAGGGATTTTGGCCCACTCCTCCATACAGACCTTCTCCAGATCCTTCAGGTTTCGGGGCTGTCGCTGGGCAATACGGACTTTCAGCTCCCTCCAAAGATTTTCTATTGGGTTCAGGTCTGGAGACTGGCTAGGCCACTCCAGGACCTTGAGATGCTTCTTACGGAGCCACTCCTTAGTTGCCCTGGCTGTGTGTTTCGGGTCGTTGTCATGCTGGAAGACCCAGCCACGACCCATCTTCAATGCTCTTACTGAGGGAAGGAGGTTGTTGGTAAAGATCTTGCGATACATGGCCCCATCCATCCTCCCCTCAATACGGTGCAGTCGTCCTGTCCCCTTTGCAGAAAAGCATCCCCAAAGAATGATGTTTCCACCTCCATGCTTCACGGTTGGGATGGTGTTCTTGGGGTTGTACTCATCCTTCTTCTTCCTCCAAACACGGCGAGTGGAGTTTAGACCAAAAAGCTCTATTTTTGTCTCATCAGACCACATGACCTTCTCCCATTCCTCCTCTGGATCATCCAGATGGTCATTGGCAAACTTCAGACGGGCCTGGACATGCGCTGGCTTGAGCAGGGGGACCTTGCGTGCGCTGCAGGATTTTAATCCATGACGGCGTAGTGTGTTACTAATGGTTTTCTTTGAGACTGTGGTCCCAGCTCTCTTCAGGTCATTGACCAGGTCCTGCTGTGTAGTTCTGGGCTGATCCCTCACCTTCCTCATGATCATTGATGCCCCACGAGGTGAGATCTTGCATGGAGCCCCAGACCGAGGGTGATTGACCGTCATCTTGAACTTCTTCCATTTTCTAATAATTGCGCCAACAGTTGTTGCCTTCTCACCAAGCTGCTTGCCTATTGTCCTGTAGCCCATCCCAGCCTTGTGCAGGTCTACAATGTTATCCCTGATGTCCTTACACAGCTCTCTGGTCTTGGCCATTGTGGAGTTGTTGGAGTCTGTTTGATTGAGTGTGTGGACAGGTGTCTTTTATACAGGTAACGAGTTCAAACAGGTGCAGTTAATACAGGTAATGAGTGGAGAACAGGAGGGCTTCTTAAAGAAAAACTAACAGGTCTGTGAGAGCCGGAATTCTTACTGGTTGGTAGGTGATCAAATACTTATGTCATGCAATAAAATGCAAATTAATTACTTAAAAATCATACAATGTGATTTTCTGGATTTTTGTTTTAGATTCCGTCTCTCACAATTGAAGTGTACCTATGATAAAAATTACAGACCTCTACATGCTTTGTAAGTAGGAAAACCTGCAAAATCGGCAGTGTATCAAATACTTGTTCTCCCCACTGTACATCTGAAAAATCACAGCTCTGCCTTTGTCCCCCTCAACGACCCTGACCCAATTAATCTCAATAATATGGAGTCATGCACGTATACATATTAACACTTATACATTTAATGTCTATGACCTTCTCAGAGTTTTGCAGGAACTCTAATTACACTGGCTTTACCCTGTAGCTCTCCAACTCCCCTCATCCCCTTGCCCATTTCCACCTTCTACTCCTTTTCCCCGAGCCTTCTCTTCACCCAATGGTGTTTAAGCAGTAATTTGTCATCTCCCTCTGAGCGTAACCAAGATGAGATGGCAGGCCCTCAGGGTGGCTAGCCGATACCACCTGAGCAACCCGCAATTCCCCTTACGTAACTGCTGCAGGTTCTGAGGGGGGAGGAAGGAACAATGGAATACTCAGCTGGGGAATACAGAAATGAAAAGAAAATAAAAAAGCTAAGATTCCTCCAAGGGGAAAGAGATGCATTAATCATAACAATACCTTCAGAAGACAACCTTACATCAGCAGCTGGGGAGGACAGGACAGGCACTCAGGAGGAGTAGGCACTAGGCAGTCAGCACCACTAAATCTAAAGCTATAGGCAGATCTTGCTGGAGGGGGCCCTGCCTGTACTGCCTGCCAGGGCTTCCCACGCCGCAGATCAGCCCTGGGCACACAGCACAGGCAAACCAAGAACATCTCCATCTCATTCTCAGGTCCCCCGAGATGTTTTCCCAAGGAACACTCTCCAACATCACAGTGGAGAATTCCACTAGGTCACGAGAAGAGAGATGAGGACTGTGGGAAAAATGTGCCTACTAAACAAACAAAACTGAGTCTTCGCTGTTTTTACACGAAATGTAAAAACACTCAAAATGTCTGATCACTTGGTACATTTGGGAGTAAATGTAGGCCTTGCAAGTTAAGCATTTCACTGTACTTGTGCATGTGACAAATAAAACTTGACCTTCAACTAATATAGAAAACATTATACCAACCCTGGGTAATTTCACATTATGTCTTTTTTCCCCGTGATGGTTTACAAATGTTCTGCATGTTAAAAATGGGCATGCCCAAACATGGAACAAGATTGTGTTGATAACTACATGGCACTTATCAGATGACACTTCTGACCATAACTGAATAACAAGGCTTCTACAAAATGATGAGCACAAAAGCAATTACACCACGAAATAAAGAATATGCAAATTGAACAATAAAATCCCTCATTTCAGGAAAGGACAATCTCAACGTCCAGTCATGCCTTGGAGCTATACTGTGGAGGACTGAGCTATGAGGTGAGAAAATTAGGAACCATGCTTATAATAGCCTGCCATGTCTTCACACATCACAGCATCACACATCACTCCCTGGGTACATGTTAACTGCGGTTCCTCACCCCACTCTCTCCCCTCCCTGTTATTTATTTATTTGATTCCCCATAGAACAACATCAGAATCAGCATCGGTAAAACACACTCAAACACACTACTGTGTAGAATTAATGTGGATATTTCTCATCCTGCCGCAGCAACCCACAAGGGCCTGGAGTATGAAGTCTTAAGGTCAGCAGCAGCGCCAAGTCAGGTAATACTGTGGTATTGTGTCTGTGTGTGTGTGTGTGTGTGTGTGTGTGTGTGTGGCTGTGTGCATGCTGTTATTGTGTTGGTGATGTCTTATCTGCAGAAATGGTCTCTGAGCACTATCTTGCGGGACGAAATGGAGGTAGACCATTGGACCAAATTGAGCAAACAGATCAATCACCAAAACAATCAATCACTGAACTCCCTTTTGGTCATTACTGGTGGGGAGAGAGAGGGGAGATCATTTTCCTCAGGATGGCTGTTCATGATGATCTTACCCATGCAGCAAAATGATGGAAACACACATCTGCGTTATCATGGCTATCATGTATTTTAGCCCGGTCTGTTTTTCGCTCTCTTTGTCATTCTAGACTAGACGTCCTCTGCAGGGGAGTGGAAGAGGGATGAGAGGGGGTAGCAGCTGTGAGTTTAGTCTCCCGTTGAGTGGTTGCTGATGCTAACTGCTCTAGGGAGTATCAGTTTTGGCATAGTGGGGTGGGGTGTAAACAAAACGCGTTGCTCTGACCCGCTGATGGACTCGCTACCACACAAATAAAAGAGACACTGCCAGAACAGCCACTATGGATTTTCTTATGGTTATTATTCTAGGCCTATTGTTTTGTGCCCAATGTGTAATGCAATCCGTAGTTCAGGACCAACATTTAAATGTGTTCATTTAGGCTAGAATATCTGACATGAGGTTGTAGGCTAGCTAGGTGTTTGGTAGGCTGGTAAATATCATGTTGATTAAACAATATTTTCCGGGGTTCAATGGGTTATTTATTATGATTCCCATGGTTGAAAGAAACGCGGCAGCTCGTGGGCCGTTATTTGGTGGTTGTGCTGTCCGGAATCCTTAGGACGTCCCTGCCCTAAACCCTACCCTTACCCTAGACCTAACCTTAACCATAACCCTTCCCTACCATTAACCCTAACCTTAATCCTTACCCGTTTTAAATGTCAACTTCAATTGTGTGACGTCGGAGTTGGGACGTCCCAAGGACCCCGTTTAGACTATTCCGTTATTTTTGGGTTTCTCTGGTGGTAAGTAAAGTTAGCCAAAGTTGTAATTTATTTTGCTTAAACATTTCGGAGTATAGAGGTAAGACCAGCGAAGCATGATCAGTGTCATTATGAAAACAGGGGTATCTGTCACATTATTAGCCTAAATGTAAAAAATGTCTGAACGGTTTAACTAGCTATCTAGGCTAACGTTAACAGATCATTAATATAACGCTAACGTAAGGCAACAGTGCGCACAATGTTTCAGATCAATAGCTATCTAGCTAGTTATTGCAAACAATCCGGTAGCTAGATGCCACGTCTAGTAGCGAGCTAATAATATGGGTCAATATTGGAATGAAGCAGCTCTGGCTCATGATTGATTGCGGTTTTACTGTGGTGCGCTTAGCTGGTCCATAACAACACGTCTGTTTGTCTATCATCTGCTGCAGATATGAAGCATTGAGTGACAAGTGCACTGCCAACACCAACTCAATTAATTATAATGTAACGCAAATAGACAAATAAATATAGTAGCTAGATGAATGTTTACACACACAAATACAAGTGTGAGTGTGTCAGTGTAAAGCTGGTGCACGTTTTGCCGTAGTGAACTTATGGTCCACACTATTCTGTATTAGCTCAGCTCACGAGCCAAGTGACGTAGAGAGAGTATACTACGTAATTGAAAGTAAAGCAAAGCAACCCCTCTTCAGAAGCGCAAAGCAAGCATGTGTGGTCCACGACTGGCTAGGATATCCTTTAATATACTGTTGCTAAGGAAATTGATGAAATGAATGGATCCCTAAGGCTTAAATCCTCCTCGCCCCCTCCTCACCCCGTGTTTTTGTGTGTTTACAGAAATCACTGCGAACAACCTGACGCGTCAAAAGGAGCTCTGCACCAGCCGAGGTAAGGACCTTAATAACATTGCTCTCTCTTGCTGTACATTGTAAACAATTCAAATGTACTGATGTTTGCCCTTGTACACTTACTGCAGGCAAGAATAATCAATACATTTGAAATGAAAAAGCAATGCTGGCAATTTTGTGAACGTCTTAAAAGGAGAAAAAAACGGTCTAATTTCAAAGTTTTACCATTAAAAAAAGAAGAAAATCTATATTATTGTATTAGTTTAAAATTATTTCAAAATGGAAGAATTTACCTTGTGTTAATATTGAAGTCACTGTGGTGGGGTAACCTTATTGTAGTGAGGTGAAGAGGACACTGCAGCTTTAAGTCCACATATTGAGCGTTGCAAAAATCAGAAACTCATTCTCCTCTCCAGTAACAGTTGAGGCGCTGGCATAAGGAAGAGGCAGGCACAACAGAAAATGCACACACACTAAAACCTGTCTCCTCCAATAATCAGCCAGAGCGGTTTCTCTCTCCAATTGGTCCGGCTTCACGCTCCTTTGTTCTTGTAAGAAAAGTCTGTGCGTGTGTGGGGTGAGTGAGGGGAGAGAGAAAGACTGAGACGGAGAGACCTGCTCAATTCAATTTCTCATTCTTGTCTCCTTTCCTCTACAGTCCATTGGAGCCGGCACTGAGCTGAGGGGCTGAGGATCGGCTGCTGCCAGCTCTAGCACCAGAATCCTCTACAGCTGTCTGGGGTGAGGAGCTGAGGTGCCTGGCTGGGTGGATGGTGCCTGGAGGAGGGGGGGGGCACGGCAGCAGGAGGAGAATGGCATCCACAGGCATGCAGATCTTCGCCTTTGTCCTGGCGCTGCTGGGCATCATGGGGGCCATGGTGGCTACGCTGCTGCCCAATTGGAAGGTGAGCGCCGATGTGGGTTCCAACATCATCACGGCCATCTCCCAGATGCAAGGGCTGTGGATGGACTGCACCTGGTACAGTACCGGCATGTTCAGCTGCACCTTGAAGTACTCAGTGCTGTCGCTGCCCGCCTACCTGCAGACTGCCCGCACCACCATGGTGCTGTCCTGTGTGATGGCTGCCATGGGCCTGTGCCTGGCCTCCCTGGGGCTCAAATGTACCCGCTGGGGGGGCGGCAGGCGTTCCAAGAGGCACGCAGCCATCGCCAGCGGGGGCTGCTTCATCGCTGCTGGCTTCCTGTGCCTGGTGCCCGCTTCCTGGTTCACCAAAGAGGTCATCACTAACTTCCTGGACCACAGCGTGCACGAGAGCAATAAGTTTGAGCCCGGGGGGGCCGTGTACGTGGCCTTCCTGTCGGCAGGCTTCCTCTTTGTGGGGGGGTCCATCTTTTGCGTGTCGTGCTCGGGGAAGAGGCCCGGCCACCAGGACATGATATTGCTGCCGCCCCCTGATAAACTCTTACTGCAGCACCAACAGCAGCTCCTACAGCAACAGGACCAGCTCCAGCACCAGTACTGCTCCCTCTCCCCACTAGACAATAAGACAGGCTACAGTCTGCAGGACTATGTGTAGGCTAAAGCAACACGCCATGCGCTACTGTTAGGCAGACCGGTTTGGGAAAACCGCTGCGTCTTACATGTAGTAAACCAACCAAGCTCTTAAAGATTAAGAGATGGAGGAGGAGGAAATGAGAGAGGAGGGGAAGGACTTTGGTGTTTTTTTCTCTCCCCTCTTTTCTTTCTTTACTTCCTGTTCTATGAGCACAAGCAGTGGATGTATTCCCTGAGCAGCCCCTTGGAACAGACAGACGGATGATGAATGTGAAATGCAGCTCAGCCGGGGGACGAAGGAAGGCGCTGCAGAATGGGAGGGGAGCCGCAGCTGAACAAATGCAGATACCCCAGCAATCATCAGTAAATCATATTAGCTCCCGGGGGAATGGGTTAGCTGATAGCAAGCCTCCCGTACACTTCCTTTTCTTCACCAAAGGTTTGAATTGATAAGCATTCATTTAGTTTGGTAAGTCAGCAATATTGATATTATTGTCTCAAAAGAGGCAATAACAGTACGTGGAATTCCCTTTTCATTAGCAGGCCATTGTAGTTTTCAACCATCCACTAGATATGGTAGTTGTTGGGACTGATTTAATAAATTGTCTTATTTTTGGTAGCGAATAGACTGATTGATATTTTGCCTAAGCATGCTGTCTGGAGCCTGTCTGTGTATAATGCAGAGGAATGCCTG